GGTTTATATATTTTGGTCAATTCAACAATTTCAGTTTTTAAACAAGAATATTCTCGATATTTCCTTGGCTTCTGTTATAGAAGATCATTTTCGTTACTTTGACAATTTAATTTAAATTATGAGAAGGTTATGTATATCTTTTAAAACTACTGAGAGAGTTATATGAAAAATTGTTAAACCACATGAAGGTAAAATGTATTTTACCCTTATCGGAAAGAAAAGGAAAAACAAAGCCTGGTCAAGAAACAAAAAAGCCTTCCACGTGTTTAAGTCCCGCAGAAAAGTCTTCTAAGAAATTTTGCACAACAATTGCAGTGAACTTGACTCTCAAATGTGAAATCAAATCAAGGCCGAAAAGAACACGTTACAAGCCTCCCTTGGTCCCCTAAGACGCAGATTGGAAAGACCTTGACTTAGATTTTAAATGCAGACCTTTAAACTCACGCTACCTCAGAAAGAATTTGGCGGGAATTAGCTGAAATATCAATGTCGCTGTTACTTAAGCACTAAAACAAATAATGGGCATAAAATCATAAAGGAATTATATGAATAAATGTAAAAATTACTCGAGAATTAAGTGAATATAAATGCAAATTATTGATGATTTAGTGGACATTATCATTTCATCACACACATTTGTTGAGGGCATCTAGTTCAACTGCCGTTACTAATGGTGTTTTCCATCCCTTTTTCACTTCATATAGACCTGCAAGAGAATTATGTGGAAATTTTAAAATTTTAAGAGGTCACGTGGTAATATATAAAATTACAAGGGGTTTATATGTAATTTATCCTAAAAATAATTATCAAAATTCCAAGATCCTAAATAAGAAGCCAAGAAGGATAAATTATTGACTACCCTCTTGTGCATTTGCATAATACCATATGATCCCTCTGAGATTTTAAAATATCCACATAACCCCCTTATGATTTTATGTGAAGGGGAAGTTTGATGAAAACTAGTCTTCATAACATGTTAGATATAATGATAATATTGTCCTTATTTCAAGTACTAAATTGAATAAGGGTCTAATAACTTTTCATAAAATTATAAGAGGATTGTGTAGATAAATACGAAACTAGAGCAGATTAAGTGAATATTTATGCAAAACTATAGAGGAGTTAAGTGGATTTTATAATTTTATTATCAAATATACTTTCGAAACACCACGTCTCAGTCAATCATCATAAACGAAGATGCTTTCAATCCATTTTTCATTGTACATAATGCCATAGGAGATTATGTAAATATTTTGAAACTTTAAAGGAGGTCATGTCATATTACGCAAAAATACAAGGGATTGAGCAATTTGCCCAAATAGGAGAAGCCAAATTTTGTACATCTGTAAAACTACTATAATATGATTCAGAGAGAAACTTATAGGCTATGTATAGTTTTTTCCATGAAAATAAAATGCACTGTAAACGTAAGAAGGAAAGGAAAAAATTAAAAGAAATTCCACCTTTTCACTATCTAAGAAACTTTTACCATCAATGGACTTAAAACAAATAAGCTATATCTTTGTTGAACTATTTGTACTTGAAGTTGGGGCTCTATCTGAGAAGTTGCACACAAGACCCGAGTGAAAGACCGACTTTGATTCTCGAAAGCGGAATGAGATTAAAGGCCGAAAAAGACAGCTTTGCGAGTGTTCCAAATTACAAGGCGTAATAAAATGTCCATGTCAGTTAATAGATTCGAAGGACCTTGACTTGATTGTAAATGCAAGACTTTAAATCCAAGCTAACCCAGGCTACTTGATTCATGCAATTGACCTGAAATGATATAGAAGGAATTAGCCACTTCATTTAGTAAAAAAGAGTAAATTCCTCAGCCGACTCCTAAAGCGATCCATCACTTGCATACACTTTTAACCCCCAAATTATATTATATGTTACTTAAACCCTTAGACAAGTTAGTTTAAGTTTTTGGCCATTCTATCAACTTTTGCTATTTGACCTGACAGAATGGAAAATTATCCGTTCACATATTTGAGCAGGAGAATACACTTCTAAGCCGGCCAACATATATATTATATACTACTCATATTTAGAGAGCTGTAAACGAGTCAAGTCGAGAGTCGAGTATCTCATGTTTGAATTCTGTTTGTTAAGCTATTTGAACAAGTCTCATGTTCATTCGGTAATATTCGAAATCCAAATCTGTGTTGGTGTTCGATTCGTTAAGGAAAATCCTAGTTAGAATTCGACTCATTTAATATAACCGAGCCATTCACAAACAATGAAACACATGTTTGCGATCAATTAAGTATGGAATTAGGAATATAATATTAATCATAAATTTTGTAAAATGACAATTAGGTCCATGTTCATGAACGAACTCGTATTCATTCAATTACTTATCAAGCCAAAATATTTGTTTGAATTCGACTCATATAAAATTTCGAACAAGTCTAAACGAGCCAAGCTAATGAACAGTTCAGTTCGTTTAACAGCTCTACTTATATTTCTCTTCTTCTCATGAGATTGTCAAAACAATGTCAAAGAAAGTGCCAGTACTTTCTCTCCTTTTCTTGTTTCTTTTTCGCTTCTAAATTCACAAACTCAGCCTTGTATGCTAAAATTTATTGTTAATCTCATTTTTAAAATTTGCCGTTGGATTTTCCCTTTAGCACAAAAGAGGACACCCATTGGATTTGTAAAGCATATGAGGATGATGGAGAATGTTCTTAAATAAGAAAAAGGTTATGAATAATTTCTGTTTAACTGTACCATTTTTTCTTAAATTTTGGCAAAGGTTACCAATTTATTCGAATTTCGATTGGGTAGAATTGTATACGTATCTGATAAAAGTCATTTTCTAAAAAAATATGTCAGTTAAAAGAAATAATAAAGTTATTGAATCATTCTCTTTTTGAGAAGTGTCTAAACTGCATTTGCCTTTTAAGAACAATCAACATAGTTGAATAGAAACCTTTCACCCGATAAATTTGACTGGTTTTTGAAACTTGAAAGATGTGACTTTGAGCAATGCCCATTAACCATTAATCAATGCTAAACAATTCCTCCAATCTAGGGGCGGATTTAAGGAGGGGCCCTCCAATCCATAAACAGTTGTACAATTTTAACATAATTATAAAGGTGCCCCAGAGATTTTTTAAAAAAAATGTGAAAGAATGGGTCACAAAATTTATATCATTCACTTTCCTCCTCTGGTCCCCCATTTTCCCCCCAACAGGGCCAAGTACCAATTATATCAGTCTTTCCTTTTGGTCCCCACTCCCTAAGTTCCCTTTCCTCCTCTGGTCCCCCATTTTCTCTTCACAACCGACGGCCCCTCTTTCTTCCCCTATTTGTACTTGTTGGTGAATTTATTTTTTTTTTTGCTTCAAAAATTAGAAAAAGAGTAGATAAAAAATTTTGGTGTTATTTTTGCCCCCACTAAGATTTTTTTTCTGGCTGCGCCCCTACTCCAATCACAGGTTTAAGCTAATGAATTGTGAAAAAAGATAAGTATATCTGATGCGTTACTAATTATTCAAATAATTTAAAAAATAATGCATTATTGGGACAAAAATATCGAGGAGGCAAGAAAATTCTGATCAACAAGATTATTATAACCAATCAATTCACCGGAGGAGATGTGAATGTGTACATGATCTAGGGACTTTAGAGTAATTATACAGAGTGTGTTTTGTTTTAATGGCATTTCTAACAAATTACACACAACAATTCTAGTGGTACACATTAAAACATGTATGTCATGGTGCTTGTTTAACTGTCCAGACTACCACGGAATGCTCAAATTGTTCTTCCTTATTTCTTGTTAATGTCCAGGATTGACAATTTTTTTTTTTTGGGTTTTAGAAATCTGCTCTTAGAGGTTAGAATTTATTCTTTAGCACAAAGAGAGCAATAATTAGATTTAAGAACCATATGAGGATTGTGGAGTAAGTTTTTAAACTTTTTTTTTTTAAAAAAAAAGGTTGCGAGTAATTTCCTTTTAACTGTACCGCTTTTGTTGAATTTGGGTAAAATTTACCGGTTTAGTTAAAGTTGAATTTCGCATCTGTACCTGTTAAACGAATAACCATGTAATTAAAATTTCAAAATTGGTGTCTAAATTTTATCAACAAAAGAATCATTGACAAAATATGAAGATTGTGTTGGTCTACACATTGTACCAATTATTACTATATCATTTATGACATCAAATGTTGTATTTCGTGTTGCACATTTTACTAAATCTATAGAAATGCAAAAGAAGGATCATTACAGCTTAAACTCAAATGTTTTAGTGTTCACATGTACGCAAATGTCATGAATTTGATTGCCCATAGAAGGCAAAAGAGATACTAAAAGGTATTGAATTACTGGCAGCAAAATGTACTTTTAGGACCGAAACATTACTAATTTGCTCCCTTTCTCGCTAATCTCAAACAACAAAAACGAAAGAAGTTCTAGTACTTCTTTTCCTTTTTATCATAACTTAAATTGTTCGTTCTTCTTTCTTTTTTTTTTAATCTGCTAAACTCACAGACTAAGCCTTATATATCTGAGCTACAATTAGATTTTTTTTTAAAATGGAAATCTGTCCTTAGAATTTATAATTTTCTCTTTAGCACAAAGAGCAATAATTAGATTGGAGAACCATGTGAAGATGATGGGGTGTGTTTTTAAATTTTTTTTTTTAAAAAAAGGGTTGTGAGTAATTTCCTTCTGATTGAACCGCTTTTGACAAAGGCTACCAATTCAGTTGAAGTTCAATTTAGTAATGATGGAAGAGTCCAATTCTAACTCTTATATTGGCTCACAGTAATAATGGAAGAGTTCTTGATATTTTTTTTTTCTCTTTTGTTGATGATTGTCTATAATTCTTTTCCTTTATAATAATAACAGTCAATATAGCCAATTGCGTGGCATTTTTACGAAAAATTCCACACGGCGTACCATCCAAATGCGGAAGACCACAAACGCTGTTGACTGCACTCCATTTTAAGTGCGAGTCTTTCAATCCAGACTACTTAATCAGGGCGGGCGCTTGCATTTCATCTATCTTATCTTAATTGCGGTCTTTCACGGTAATAGGGCATCGATGGATGTTGGATGCAGCGGAGTTGTTGTTCTCATGATACTGGCTATTGCACCAGTTGCAAAAGCAGCAGCAGCAAAGGAGTCTGCTGTGAATTTATTGGAAGCTGAAGCACTGCGCAAGAGTGGCTGGTGGGGAGACAGCAGTACTACTGCAACAAACATCTCTGCCCACTGCCACTGGTCTGGTATCATTTGCAACGATGCTGGTAGTGTTACCGAAATACTACTTCCGAACTGCAGAATTCAAGATCACTTGACAAATTTGAGCTTCTCTTCTTTTCCGAACCTGGTTAGACTGGATCTCAGTGGAAATGGTCTATACGGAGCCATCCCACATCAAATAGGTGCACTCTCCAAACTCACCTATCTCAATTTGTCTTCCAACAGACTTCAAGGTGAGCTTCCATCTTCTCTGGTAAACCTTACGCAACTAGCACATCTCGATGTTTCTTCGAACCGGATTGGAAGCTTAATTCCTCCAGGTATCGGAAACCTGACAAATTTGGTTACTCTAGACTTGAGCCAGAATTCTTTTGGGGGTCCCATCCCTCCAACTCTTGGACAATTGTCCAATTTAGGCTCCCTTTATCTCGATAATAACAACTTTAGTGGGACAATTCCTTCAGGTCTTTTTAATTTGACAAGTCTTTCCCGACTATACATTTACTGGAATCCTGCAATGGGAGGATTTCTCTCAGAAGAAATAGGAAATTTGAAGAGTTTAGTTGCATTAGACTTGAGTTACAATGGATTTTCTGGTAGCATCCCTCCAACTCTTGGACAATTGTCTAACCTTGACTTTCTTGATCTCAGCAATAACCACTTTAGCGGGACAATTCCTTCAGCTCTTTTTAATTTGACAAATCTTTCCACACTATACATTCACTCGAATCCCTTAATGGGAGGATTTCTCCCAAAAGAAATAGGAAATTTGAAGAGTTTAGTTGCATTAGACTTGACTTACAGTGGATTTTCTGGTAGTATCCCTCCCACTCTTGGCCAATTGTCTAATCTAGAATTCCTGGGCCTCAGCAATAACTACTTCAATGGGACAATTCCTTCGGCTCTTTTTAATTTGACAAATCTTTTCCAGCAAATTTTCGAATATCTCCATCTTGGGTCCAACCGGTTGACTGGTCAAATCCCTCCGACCCTTGGCAATCTGACTGCTCTAGTTAATTTGGACCTCTCTTCTAACCAAATAAGTGGTTCCATTCCCTCTGAAATAGGAAATTTGAAAAGTTTGGAACAGCTTCTCCTTGGGTCCAACCGGCTGACTGGTCAAATCCCTCCGACCCTTGACAATCTGACTGCTCTAGTTAATTTGGACCTCTCTTCTAACCAAATAAGTGGTTCCATTCCCTTTGAAATAGGAAATTTGAAAATTTGGGAACAGCTTCTCCTTGGGTCCAACCGGCTGACTGGTCAAATCCCTCCGACCCTTGGCAATCTGACTGCTCTAGTTAATTTGAACCTCCCTTCTAACCACATAAGTGGTTCCATTCCCTCTGAAATAGGAAATTTGAGATATTTGGAATATCTCGATCTTGGGTCCAACCGGCTGACTGGTCAAATCCCTCCGACCCTTGGCAATCTGACTGCTCTAGCTATTTTAGACCTCTCTTCTAACCAAATAAGTGGTTCCTTGCCTCTTGGACTTTCTGATATAACTTCTCTACAAATTCTAGATCTTTCCTCAAACCAAATTAGAGGCCCAATTCCTATCCAATTTGTGGATGACATGCTTAAATCCTATAGGCCCATTTTCACTTTGAATCTTTCCCACAATATTCTCTCTGGCACCGTCCCCTCGTCTCTTATGCAACTGTCGGACGTCGACCTGTCCTATAATGCTTTGGAAGGTGAACTTCCGTGTGACCTTGGCTTTCAGTTTGGTTCAGAAAGATTTGTCGGCAATCGAGACTTGCGTTACAATTCCACACTTTGTGGTGCATCTCCTTCTGTTATGGGAAATCATAGACATCACACCCTCTACTACATCATAGTTCTTGGCGTACCCTTGTTGGTGTTCGCAATAACTGGCGGATTAGTAATTTATATCTGTTGCTTCAAGAAAGTGGAAGTCGAGCTGATAGACAATAAACATGGAGACATTTTCAGAATATGGAACTATGATGGACATATGGCTTACGAAGACATAATTAAAGCAACCAATGATTTTGATGTCAGTTATTGCATCGGGACAGGGGGGTATGGCAGCGTGTACAGAGCTCGGTTGCCAAGTGGGAAAGTAGTGGCTTTGAAAAAGCTTCACCGTTTGGAAGGTGAGAATCCAAATTTTGACAAGAGCTTTAGGAATGAAGCCGACATGCTTTCTAAAATCAGGCACAGGAACATTGTAAAGCTCTTTGGATTCTGTCTGCACAAGCGATGCATGTTTCTGATTTATGAGTATATGGACAGAGGAAGCTTGTTTTGTATCTTGAGAGATGAAACTGAAGCTGTGGAGCTGGATTGGGTTAAAAGAGTGAATTTGATCAAGGGCATTGCCAGTGCACTGTCCTACTTGCATCACGATTGTGATCCGCCAATCATTCACAGGGATGTATCAAGCAACAACATTCTTTTGAATTCACAGCTCGAAGCAACTCTTTCTGACTTTGGAACTGCGAGGATTTTGGAACTTGATTCATCAAATCAAACGGTCATTGCGGGCACCTTTGGTTACATGGCACCGGGTTGGTTACCTTGCTATCCCAGATCACTTTATTCTTTTCACCAACTTGTTTTTCATATGCACATATTAGGCTTAACTTTCAAGGACAGAAAAGAAAAAAAATTTCTTCCAACTGAAACGATCATTTTTTTTTTTTGGAATAGTAAGTCTAGAATTGTCCAGTTGAGATTAACTTTATTTGTATCCAAATATATACTTACTTGTCAATGCAGAGCTAGCCTATACCATGGTGGTCACTGAAAAGTCCGATGTGTATAGCTTTGGCGTTGTGGTGCTGGAAACGCTGTTTGGAAAGCATCCACAAGATTTCCTTTCCTCCTTTTCATCACAACCCAATGAACCAATACTGCTGAAGGATCTTCTTGATGCCCGTCTGCCCCCTCCGACTAACCCTTTCGTGGTTCGAAATGTGGTTCTCGCAACAGCGTTAGCCCTGGATTGCGTCAACGCAAACCCGAAATGTCGACCAACAATGCAGCAAGTGGTGAACCGATTTGAAGAGGACAGGCGAGAACCAACTAGGCCTTTGCACACCATTGCTGTGAATCAGCTTGTTAGTCCTCCAGTACTTTCATTGCCTGACCAAACCTACACAGTAGTTTAAGCACCATGAATGGCTTTCGTGTGCCATCATCCAATTTTTCTATCTATGTTTCTGCCTAAACAGAATAAGATCAGGTCAATCCAAAGTTGTATTTAAAAAAATAATAAATTTGCATAAATTCTAGCATGCATAACCTATAACCAAATTTAAAATTTGAACTCTAAATATGTAGCATGCATTTGCCTTTACTAGTTAAAAGAGAAAAAGGAATTTCACACGTAAGAAATGATTGAAACATAAATGGTGCAAACTTTTTTTTCTTAAAAAAATTTGCTAATATAAATGTGCAAGTTTTTATGAATCTCGAGTTTGCCATATAAACATAGAATGATTTTCAATATGAATTTATTAGATCACCTATTAGTTTTAATTCACCAAACTTAAACAAATTCCAATTCTCAAAACTTGCTTTACCATTGTTTCTAACCAAGATCATTTTCACCAATAACAACCGCAGAAAAGATAAAAAAACACAGACACCAAGTTTCGAAATGTGGAACCTATATTCAGCGGGGGTACTTTTTTGGTGCTTACGAACCCATAAGTCCATTGCTGCGATTTTTTGCTTCCTCCTAGGATGCCTCCCACCCCACCCCAAAAAAAAAAAGGTTTCCCGGTTGCTCATCAATCAGAAGGAGTTTCCTCATTGTTTCCTGATTTTTAACCAAATGTGTATAATAGCTTAAGAAAACGTTGTACTATTACAAGAAACTCAGGGGCACGTCAAGTACCCATAGAAACCGAGGAAAAGAGCGAGTTGATATCTGCCGGAGAAGTTTTCGCTCTACCTTTTTTTTTTTTTTTTTGAGTTTATCAGAAATATATCCTTAAGTCTTAAAAGGTACTCTGTTTATCAGAAATATATTTCATGTGATAAATTATATTACATTTTTGTGCTATTTGATACAATGCAATATGTTATATCACAAACATGCATATAATTTGTGTTGTTTTTAGTTCTTCTCTAGATTATTAGAGACACTCCTTACATATCTACTCCTACTTCTATGGTTTGATAATCATCGTCAAACCTTTTTTTTTTTTTTGATGAAGTGTAGCAATAATGTCCGCAACTTCTTTCTTTTCCCCAGCTAATTTCTCTCCCTTATTTCTCCTCCTCCTCATTTTCTCCCATCCCCAAGTTCCTCCTTCAAGTTTTTTTCAATCACTTGAGCTTTTCGATTGATTCAGGGTTTGAAAATTGAAGAAAAAGTATGACAACATCTTGAGTACACTTACCCGCAGAGTGTGAGTCTTACCATGCCAGTAAAATCTCGCTTAATCTCTAACATTTAAGAACGATGATTTATTTTATTTTCAATTGACTCTTGCTAACAGTTGTTTCTTCTTTTTTTTACTCCAAATCTTTGGAATCTGGTTATTTGCTTTCTTACAAATTCTTACAACAATAACATGGTTATTTTGGTTAAATAATCATACAAAACATACAAAAAATAAAAAACTTAGGTAAAAATCAACATAAAGTTAAAAGTGTGAAAAGTAGTCAATTATTAGTCCAACCATCGCTACTTTGGCAAGTCTTGTTTCATCCCAAAGCCTTCAACCCTTCGACTCCCAAATCATGATCTTTTCTCCTCCTCAAACGTTGCTTCTTTTAAAGCAGGCAAAGGAACTTGGGCCTCCTCTGCATGCAAAATAAGTTACAAGAAGTCCATCAAAAGTGTTGGCAAGGTAAAGTATAAATCTTCTGATGATGATAATGTTGACGAAGAAATTAATGATGCTAACGATGACGCTGATGTTACTGATGCTACATGTGATGATGATGATGGTGATGGTGATGTTGATGATGAAACTGGTATTAACGATGACGCTGATGATGAAACTAATGATACTGATGATCATAATGATGTTAATGAAGTTCCAGCTAACTCTTACAACTCTAAAGAGGTTAGCTACAAAGCAGAGAGTTTATTCTTGGGGGATATATTATGATCCTGTTTGTCAGTTCTGATCTAGCAAAACTGAGACACTTAGCGGCTTGTGTTTGTCATGTTCCTATTCTCAAGTGCGGGAGCACGTTCAGTCAAAACGTCTGGTTTTCGGGATCTCCACGGAGTGGGAGAGTAAGTTTCAATGGATGATTAGCCATTTCTTTCAAGATAACTTACACAAATCAGGTATTTAGAGTTACCTTTGCAGCTGCAGTCTTATCATATCTGATGCAGCAGGAATAGGAAGGTTGTTGCTCCAGGAATACTCACTCATTCTATCCTGAAGGAAAAGTGTGGGGAATACTTGCTGGTTGGCATTGAGTTCCTAGAAGCAAAAGAAATTACTCCTTGTGTTTTGAGCTGAGTACTCCTTTTCCAATATTTGATAACTAGGCATACTGTTTACTTGTTCTTATTTTAGTTCCTGATGCATAGCTACTCACATAGGTTGATTACAGAAATTTTTTTTTTTAATTCTGCAGATTTTAGCTACTCATATAGTTAGAAAGTTGAAAGCGCTATTTGATTAGTGGTGCTTTTCTGTCTCAATTCCATTCTAGTTTTCGGACAAGAAAATTTTTATACTTATTCATCCTCCAAGTCTAATCTCACCTTATTTAATTTTGGAATTGGATATCGGCTAGTATCTCAGTGTTCTATTTGTAGTGTGTTTTATTCTTTTGTTGGTTTCATTTTTTTGGTTGGCCAAATGGATGCCGGAGCAGGTCTTATCGAGCAAACCACGTCCTTCAAAGGAATCGGATATCGGCTAGTATATCATTGCTCATTTTTTATCAACCAACCCATAATTTTCCTTTTTTATTTTTCTCTAATCACATTATCTATTCCTTTTATTTGAATTGATTATTTGTTAATAATACTTCTCATAATTTCATAATTGTTATAAAACTATTGCTAATGTGATATAGGATTTGAGTTGTTTTTGTAGTGGGTAATATGCTAAGAAAACAAGAAAATTAAACAACCTAGGGGACAGTACAGTAGTTAGTTTCTTCAACATAGTGATACAATCTTCTCATAAGAGCTAATAACTTTATCAATTGTCGTGCTAGGTTTATCGAGATTCGTAATAGGTTTATTGAAAATCATGCCATTTTTATCACCTCAAAAGTAAGTCATGATAGTTTTATTACTTCGAAGAATGTGAAAGACTTGTCACCATCTAGGAAATGAGATAAAGGTGATAAATATCCACAATATTAGTTATTCCATAACAATAATTTCATTTTTTAGCATTCTTAATTTTAGCATATTGCCCATACTAATCCATTTATGTTTTTAATTAATCATTCTTTTTTTTTCTAAAATTTCTTCAATAACTATTTTGTTTTCCGTTGTAACGTTCAATATCTTTTGCAAGCATTGCCTTCCAAATTATTTTTTTTACAAAATTTATTACTTGATAAATAGAAATTTTGTATATCCAAAAGGTTGGGTTCAAGACTTCCAACTTACAAAAAAAGAAAAAGTTAAATAACTCCAAAAGAATTTGTTAATACTACTAAATTCTATTTTTAATTCCAACAATCTAAAAAAAAACAAATTCTAAAAGTAGTATGATGACTAAATGAAATTTAAATGGGCCTGGGTTGATATAGATAGTGTTATTGAGTATTCTAATTCAATATCCAAAAAATAGTTTGAAACTATATTATATATTTTGAAATCATTACTCTAATGTAGAAATACATTTTCAATCCAAATAAAAGGACCAGCTAATAAAAGGCTTGTATTCATATTTAAAAAAGTTCCTATCCTTTTAGATCCAAATTGAGCCTTAATTAATAATTTTTTAATATTAATTAATATGAATTTTAATTTTATTTGTTTAATCAAAGGATTCTATCCATTTTTTATTTGAGCTGAATTTGAAATTTTTCGAATTGTGTAATCATCAATTACTTCAATTTAGAAAGAATATATGTTCCTTGTAAAGCACCATTAAAAGCTTTTTATCATAATTTCGAACTATTGTCGTGATTGCTTATCAAACAATAAATATGGCATTCAAAACTTGACACTATTTCCTTGTAAAGCACCATTAAAAGCATTTTATCATAATTTTGAACTATTGTCATGATTGCTTATCAAAAAATAAATATGGTATTCAAAACTTGACACTCTTTCTTTATATTTGTGCTAACAATTGCTTTGGAAAGTAATTAAACTTTATAAATTGAAGGTATTTTGGGATATTCGTTTAAATTGTTGATCAAGTCTAAGGTTTGGTTATCAAAAGTATCAAATCAAAGGAGGTAAGTGTAAGTTTTAAAATTTCAAGAGAGCTCAATGAAATTGTCAAAAATTTCCGAGAAGGTTTATGAAATTATCATTATAATTTTTAGTTATTAACCCTCAATATTGATAGATCAAACATGACTTTCAATGAAGAAAATTTAAATTGAAAGCGGTTGATAAATTAAAAGAGAACGAATTGATTTTTTTTTTTTTTTTTGAAATTCTTATCCTTCCTTTGTTGACAAGTAGTTTAATACAAGACTACCAATATTAGAAATTTAATGTAAATCAATTCACGAACTTAAATGGTGCAAGGAAGTTAATACTAAATATGAGAGGAAAATTGATCAAAAGCATAAAAAAAAATCCAAACAACCCATTATATATAACGTGACGACCCTCTTGTTTCCATTTGCATCGAAGGAAACGAAGGGAAAGGAAAGAAAAGGTTACAAAAGGTTACCAATAGAAAAGAAAGGAAATGTTAGTGGAGGAAAGTGGTTTTCATGATTTCTTAAATTAACTATAGAAAGAAAAACAAGAATAAATTAGATTTGTTGTTTGGTTTAAGGAAGGAAAAGAAAGGAAGACAAAGTGCTAGTTTTTTTGTTTTTTAAATTTTCCGATGTTTTTTAAATTTTCCGACTGGGGAGAGAGGGATTGGACTTAAGAAACGAGGAGACGGTGAGAGAATTTAAATGCAGGACCTCTAATTATTGGGACCCCAACCTCGCCACTAAATCAAGACCTCCTCAATAAGTATTAGTTAACTAGCAAGAAATGAAAAAAATGAAATTTTAAATTATTTCATTTAATTTGGTTCCTTCACTTATGCGCGGAAATCAAATCTTCCAAAAATAACTCTTTCCCTCCCAATCATTTTATTTCGTCCCTCAAAAATCAATCCAGACAAAAAAAAAAATTCAAAGCTTTCCTATTCTTGTCCTTTCATTTCCCTCACATCTCTCAATCCAAACAATGCCTAACTTATGGAGAAAAGATTGTTAGGAGTTAAACTCTTGATTCAGAAAGATTGAGCTATAATTTATGGCTTCACTTTGCACTAATTTCCCAATTGACAATGAATACCTCACTATTTATTTAACAAATCTAAGTCCAAGGAAAGTTATTTATTGATACTTAGTCAGTGTTGAAGATACACATACACTAGATGTATGTGCAACCAAAATAAAAAATATTTTTAAACTTCATTTGCTTCTTGATTTAGGGAATATCGAAGAATATTTAAGAAATTACAAGTCTTTAAGAATATTGACAAGTATGGCTAGGACCGTCAATAGGATTGGATTATCCAAACTCGACCTGATTGACGTGAAAAAGTTGGGACTGAGCCTTAGATTTAATTAGGTTGGGTAGAGTTTGGGTTTAGATATAGAACTCGATTAGGTTGTGAGGCCTAGTCTGACTAAAGCCTGACCCAAATAACTCTATACGTGTGTGTCTATACATATATATAATATGTAATCACATAAATAATGTACAATATTACATATTACAATATATATGTGAGTTAGGCATGAGCCTAATAATCTGAAACCTGAAAATCTTATTTCTTTAGTACTCACATTACACGATTGACAATCATAGATATGGAAATTAAAATTGGAGAAATGTACCGTGAAGTTGTGTATAATATGTTAGTTGGAGAACTTTAAATGGCATTGGTTCATGATTAATTTATAGCTATGTGGATAACACTGATATGTTTTTTTTAAAATTAATATGTTCGAAGTATTTTATCCTTTTTAACAGGAGTACAAAGAAAATATTTAACGTGACCACTATATAGTCTGGGGGAAAGTACAAATAATACTTAATTATGTGAAGATTTAGTTATACTTAATTATGCAAAGATTCAATGAGATACGGTCACGGTTTCGAAATTGTCAGTTCCGATTTAAAAATCGACGGTTCTGATTCTTCTTAAGGGTGGAACCTCAATTAGCCCTTATAAGTATGGTTATGATTTCGGATTCGATTCCGATTTTATTTTGGTTTCTTTCGGTTATAGTTTCAATTCATTTTGTTATGTTTAAACAATTATTCTTATAAATTGATTCTATAAAAATATGACAATGAATGTAAAAAAAAACTTTATTGTATTATCATGTGTAAGGAAAAAAGAAAAAATGATGCAAATTTAATGAAAAAAAAATATCATTGTTGATTAGATTAAATTGGTCTTGGATTTAAAGTAGTCATGGCATATAAACTTACTGCTCCCTCTGTCCCATTTTGATAGTTCTTGTTTTTTTTTGCACACAGTTTAAGAAAAAATAGTTAACTTTGTTGGAAAAACAAAATTAGATTGCTATTTTTCTAAAATACCCTTACATTAAATAAAGTTGGCTTTTCATATATCAATATGTTTTGGAAAATCTAAATACATTAATTGGGGTAGGTTATATTCAATACTAACAATCTATATTAAATAAGGTAGTTTATAGTAATAACAACTTACATTAAATAAAGATATTTTAGATAAATTAAAAGATAACTACATTCTTCAATTGGAAAGTGGACTACAATTTGGGACAGACGAAAAAGGAAAACAAGACTATCAAAGTGAAACGGAAGAAGTAATAGAATGAGACGATGGGTAGTTGGTCTAGGATTAGAACTACCGGTAGCAGGTATTGACTATTGATATTGGATTCTAAATTGACCAAATAGGTTTAGATAGCAAATATTTGTTTAGACAGTTTAAATGGGTCCTAAACTGCCAGTTCCGATTTCAATTCAAAATTTTGGTGAATTTGAATCTGAACCTTTACTCATAGTTTTGGTTTCTTTCCAGTTTTTTAAAGTTTAGTTTCGATTCCGATTCAACAAATTATCGAATCGATTCCAATCCGATTTCATTCAAACTTGAACCATAGCCACCCCTTGATTTAATTATATCTAACTATGTGAAGATTTAACTATACTTGATTATGATAAAAAAAAAAGTCCAAATTCAAATTAACAAATATTAGAAAAATCAAGACAAAATAAGAGCAAAATTCAAAAAGAACAAAATGCCAAGAAAAATATGTGTAACCGTCACTATCCTACTAAGACGGTAGGAACCGATGCATTCACACTCATGGAAATCCAACTGGGGTCCATCTACCATTAATCCCAGACGAGTACGGACAAGATTTCCATGGCAATTATACCCTTCTATTTACAAATAATTACAACAGTGCCAGTGCCACTGATGCGTCTTTCTTCCTGCGCATCCAGGTAGCCACTCTGTCACTCTGTGCGTAAACTCTCCCCTCTCTCGTTGCTGTCATCATCAATCTCTCCCAAATTTCAGTGCGTGACTGTGTGTGAGCTCTTCCGTGGTGGTTTCGATCATTTTCAGGTACAATGCTTTGGTCTTCACTTCGCAAAATTTCAACTTTTTACTGTTACTAGTTATATCATTAGAGCTCAGTTGATGGAGTTGGTGAGGAAAGATGGAATTTTTTTGGATTGTCTTTTTGGCTGTGTGAGTGAAATATGAAATTCTTCGAACTAGTGAAAGTATTGTTGTTTTCTTCAGTTTGGAACGAGTAATCATAGTTCTGCATTGCTGAATTGGTTGATGTTGCGTTTATGTGATCAAGGCCGCCTAGATGATTGATATAACTGGGGATTTTTCTGTTTTTTTTTTTCCTTTAGTGTTTGCATTTTTGAATTCTGATTTTTTTACCAGCAATTAAATTTGTGCATGCTTGTGAATAATGTGCAAATGTATAAGTGGACGTGTAAAATTATCTATTTTTTCTTTAAATTTGATATTTCTATGTCTATGTTGGATACAAATGATTATACATGTGTGTGTGTGTGAAAGATCATGTGTGTGGGGAAAGTGTATCACTTGCAAGGATCTTCTTCCCTAATGCTATAGAGCAATGGTACCATTGGGGTGAGTAGACGCTTCTCGCAGTTGATCAACACCTTCTCTATTACTGTTAACAACTCATCCATTTTGTCCCCCACATCCTTTCTTGCTAGATGATATTTCTGCCTAAATATTCAGTATTTGTTTTAACATATTTGTGCATGTAATTAGATAAATCAGCTTGATATGGTGATTATAGGTGTTCTTCAATTAATTGCTATTCCAATTACAGTATGATACTGCTAGTTTCCATTTAGTACTAAATGAAAAAGTTGAAATGATACCCGTAAGATAGAGGGAATAAAGGCTATGTTCATTCCTATTACAGTTGCCTTTCATATCTATTGTTTCGAAGCTGCTGCATGATAAGATAAACTAGCCCTCATGATCCAGAGAATAAAGCTTTTCTCAGTATACGCTGAGTAATCATGAGTAATGTGGAAACAGTATAAGAGAATCATGAAATGACTCCAATGTTTCAGAAAAATTCCATCTATGATAACTCAGTAAGAGACAATGGAAAGCATGAAAGTTTGCTTTTAACCAAAGACTCAGTTTTGGATTAGACTCTCCAACTGTGAAAATTAGACAGGAGGAAAATGCTGACCAATGACTTGGATGTATAATCTTCATGCTATCAACGTATTATATAATCTGCATACCAGCAGGATCACTGTTGCATGGGATGAACTATCTTGTTCTAAGTTAATGCTGAGATGGCCTTTTAATCATCTATCTTCTTTGAAAAATCCGGACGTGTATACTACTGATATTCCTTTATTTACAGATTCAACAACGGATATCTGTTGGAAACATTTTCTCTGTATCACCAAAATATTTTATCATCATATTTTCGTGCTCATATTGCAGGTCGGAATTGACTAAGACTATGGATTCTTCTCTCTGGGATCCACCAATTTGTGAAGGTTGCTCTGCCTTGTTATTTATTAGCTAAATGATTCAAGTTACTACTGGTGGTTGTTTAGACTGAAAAAATTACTGGAACTCTGTATAGATTCGAATTTTGCATGACTGAAATTTTCTATTCCACTAAAGCTGACTTCTTATTTTTTGTTTGTGTATTTTTTGGTTACAGATGACAGTGCTGATTTTAAAGGGAATTGGCAGTCTGATTTCTCCTCTGGTGTGGGCCGTGGTTAGTTTATCCCCTTTACAATGTTTGCTAATCAGTTTCTTTGGGGACTTTGTTTAGAATGACTTAAGGTCCCCCCTGTTCCATTATATGTATGTCATAGATGTCATGGAAGAAGATGCTATAAATGAAAGGTGTTGTATCGAAGTGCTGAAAAGACTGATACCTAAGGCTGATGCCGAGATAAAGGAACTTGAGGAAGAAATTATATTTCTTCAGGCCCAAGTGGCTTTGGAAGATGATGCTTGGGCTAAGAAATGCTTTGATACTTTGACAGAGAGGATCAAGGCGCTAGATATCTCGATTCAGAGATTGAAGAATGAAAAAGTGCAACAGCAACAAGGACAGGCGTCTAGTTCCCAAACACATGGAGATCCTGCTCAGAATGAAAAGCAACAAACAGAAAATGAACTAAACTTTGGTTTCCAAACAGATGGAGATCCTGCTCAGAATAAAAAACAACAAACAGAAGATGAATTGGATGTTTGTTTTCAAACAGATGGAGATCCTGCAAAAATTGAAAGCCTACTAACAGAGGAGGGCCTTGATTCTCACATCCAAACATGTAAGGAACCTTCTCAGAACCAAAAAATACAATTGGAACATGAGATGGGTGTTCTTTGCCAAACACATCTAGAACCTGCTCAGATTGAAAACCTGCAAGCAGAACATGAGCTGGATTTTAATTTCCAAACAAATGGAGATCCTGGTCAGGATGAAACACTACAAATGGAACATGAAATGGGTGTCCCTCACCACAAACATGGAGAACCTGCTCCGAAACTGAGTGAAATACTAAAAGCTCTTCTGGAAAAGTACTACTTTCCAAACAGAGATAAGCAGGTTTGTGTAATACCTGAATTTTATTCTGTTGCTCTGCTGCCCCACTAAGCAAGTTGGCATGGTTAATTGATTAGACATAGTTTTTCATATTACCCTGTACTATCCCCTGGTTTTTCTTGTTTGTAAATAAGTGCACTGGTTGATGTGAAGCGGCTGAAAACCTGTTCTGGATTATTTCTGGGCATGTCACTTTTCAGAATATGTATAAATTTCCTATCCAATACCTGAAGATATCTGAGACCTTAGCTGCTAAATGCTTCATACCACGTTCACTGGTATTAAGCATGTCAAAAGCCAGAAAGATGTATGAATGAAAGAGTTAGGCTTGAGTGTATATTATCGGGTGAGGTATTTGAGAACTTATTTAAAGTAACTTTCAGGGAAAGAAAACCTTTTCTTTTGCTCTAGGACCAATCAACATTTTTTTAAGAATTAAGGAAGTAAAACAGCTTCATCGTATACATAAACTGGATCAGTTGAACAAATCACTTTTCTCTTCCTCTTGTTCATCACGTTTTCTGGGGAATAATTAAAATCATGACTTTGCATGCCAACGTGATGTACTTTTAATTTAACATCTTCTGCACTATTTGTATATGGTATTGCTGGCAAATGTGATGTTAAATACACCGTCTTTACCTATATGTATCACTGGACATTTGATGTCATCTTGGTGTTTCGGGTGATTTGGAATTTGTTTGAGTAATATTTATTTCTTGTAAGACAACTTTTTCCCTATTTGTGGAAACCTCCATTACAGAGTTCAAGTTTCAATGCTGAGAAGCTTGCCACTCTCCAGTCCACAGACGAGACCAGCTCGAGCAATGCTGAAGCAGTGGCCTGTGCTGCTAAATCCTTGAAAGAGATTGCTGAACCTTTTAATCTGGAAGTTTTAAAGGATGTGGAAGAGAAAGACCAGGTAAAGACAACCTCCTTACATTATTTTGCAGTTCCTAGCATGGCTGCTCTGCGAAATCTGTCAAGTGCTAACTTGTGACTTATGTAGACTACAAGATATCCTTTCTTCTTGTTACATTTTCATATTGGTTTTCTCCGAACAATGATCAGAATGGAGATACCACAATCATCAACTCGTTCCCAAATCTTTCTGAACATGCAAGTGAAGTATCCACCAAGAGAAAAATGATGGAGATTGATTCAAGCATTGAGATAGCACATGGAATAGGAATACATGATTCAACAACCAAGGCAGTGAAGAGGATGTATACCCCAGACATTCAGAAGGTACCTACCAATCAGTCGTAAAGTTAGGAATCAATTCCTCCATAAATGTACAAATTTTCTTTTGACTTTACTGCTCTCATGCAACAAACAGGAAGCAACTGCTATGATGATGGATACCAGTGCGAATGCCTTAAGCCACATAGCCGGTTCAAGCAGTGGAACAGTGGGCTGCAATCTTTCTGAAGAAACAGGCGGGGCAGTCATGGTACGGAATTTCGGAATTGAAAGCGCTAAGTTGAAGCCATCTCCAAATCCCGCCGAGACCACTATTACAGAAACTGATATGGTACGAGATGTTTCTTATGTATCAAACTGATAAACAAGTTGGGTCTAATCATTTGTGAGACTGGCTTCTTTAGTTTGATGTAGGCGACAGTAATGTATCCCTTTTGAGCACCTTCATATTGTAGACATGACTTATCAGTTGTACATGTTATTATATTATAAATAAATAAACATATCTTATAATAACTATATTTACAGTTAATTCTTGTGAATTCTATTAGTCACTCTGTATGAAATTCTTAAAAGTATCGAGGATGTAGAATATCTGCACGGTAAATTATGTGCGTTAATGTATTTTTTTTTTCTTTTCTTGATTTTTTTTGTCTATTGCTTTTGTACTCTGATTCAATAAAGAAATAATTTTTTTTTCTATAAAATTACTTGTTAAAATCCTAACCAATGGAGACTTTTGGCAAAAATGGGATTTTGGGTTTTCACAAATTTTTTTTCCCCTACAAAGTATGAGGATTCAATATCTACATGGTAAATTTTCATTTCGAAGATGATTCTCATATGACTAAGAAACTGTATCTTCTTTTCTTTTCTTTTCAGAGCATGTTCCAACTTGCAGATATCGATTCAGTTTACATAACAGATCCCGTAAAACAGCAGGCCGAAGAGGTTGATATAACCAACTGGATAGAGACGGAATTTCCCCCCATAACGAAGCAAGAAGATTTGTGGCTTTCTGATTTCGGATGGGCATTTGGGGAACCATCTTCACAGGGGTCCAATAGCACGACCAAAGAGGCAACGGAGCCACTGATCAAGAAAGGCGAAGAGTTGGGTAATCTCCAGGCCGCTCAGACGATGCATGAGGGAAGGATGGAAGGTTTGGTCAAGGAGGAAATCGATCCGGCCTCCAACTTTCATGCACTGAACGAATTTGGAGTTAACAAGTCTCTCAAGTTAGTCTCTTGTACTACATCAGTGGCCACAATGCACCTCGAGTTTTTGACAATGGCTCAACTCAGAGCCATGGCAAAGGCACGCAAGCTCAAAAGATACTCCAAACTCAACAAAAGAGACTTGATCAAGCTTCTTGACGAGTCACTTTAGAAAAGGAACAAGTCTGATAGTGCAATATGCTTCCAGTAGCTATAGAAGTTGCATGAACTTATTTTTGCTTCGGTTTTTTAGCCATTTTACAGACAATGCCATTGTAAACTTTAAGAATGTGCAAGTGTGACTCATCTAGACAAAATTTTGACAATTTTGGGTACTCTGTTAGCCTTTTTTCCCCATGGAGCTTGATATTTGACTGGGCAATAATGTTGCTGGTGATTTACTCGCTTGGAAAACTGCATATGGATATTATTCACGATAGTGCATTCTTGGATTCTGTGAAATTCCACACTTTTTGTGGTTATAATTCAACTGCAGGCAGGTGGCAATTCAGCAGATTATGTGGTAGCAACTCCCCCAACCCTTATCAGCAAATCTATTGAGTTGGCTTATGATAAGTAGCAGTTGCAGAAGCAACTCTTTTCGTGTTTGACAAATCACCAGCAGCTACAGAAAAACCAGGGGCATCACCTTTTTCTCTCAGATCGATCTTCTAAACTAATCTGTTGTTTAGCAATATCAGGTAAGTTACAAAGCCATTTTTAGCAGTATCAGGGAAGTTACAAAGCCATTACCGTTTTCTCTCAAGGATTGATACAGTCAGCACTTGCTCTCCTTTAGCTTTCAGAAAGTATCAATCTGATTCTGGATGAATTCCATGTTACAGCTTAAAGACAAATTTACAGAATGAGAGTATTGTCAGGATTGGGAGTTTTCAACTGAGTGATGAATTGGGGGTTTACCTTATCATTTTGAAATCAAAAGCCAAAACAATCTGAGACTTACCTCCATTTAGTAGTCCAAACAGAGACCATTTGCAGGTACACAAACTTGAAGAAAGCTAAAAAATAAACCATTGCAGTTTATCTGCTGCTTTTGATCATGGTACACTTTCAGCTCACAAAATGGAATATCATTCTTCCCTGCAAACAACAATAAAACACAAGAATCAAACAAACAATTCTTAGAAAGAAAAATAAAACACAACAAAGTTTAGAAAAAGTAAAGGGTAAAAAAAAAAAAGCAGTTTTCAAGTTTTGGCACTTAAATATTTTCCTAATCTCTCAACCTATCCCCTATCTAGACTTATCCAGAACTAAGTATTTCTCTTCAGAGGCAGAATCTAAAACTCACCTTTGTGAAAGATTATGGGCAATGCCAGAACTTGACAACACATGATGGTCAAAAGTAACAAGATAGAAATAGGAAGTTGGTGATTCTCCTCTCTTTTTCCTTTTTCACTGCCTTGGTTCTAGAAACTATTCTGAGAAAGCATCCAGTAGTGGACCTAAGACTAAATCGCATCACCTACTCTGTAACACACTAAAAGTCCGCAGCATCTCCAGTTTGGACCATTTGTTAGATTCAAATCTGCAATTTCTTTGGATGAGAATTACATTGTTATGGGCTTCTAAGCATTTTCCTACTTGGCTAGATATTTTCTCCAACCTGAGTTTTTACCGAGGCATTTTCACCGTAGAAACCAATTCCTAATTTAGAACCTTGGTCCCTAGATACCAAAACCACAAAATTCTTGTTAAGATAGCAAAGTTCATAAATATTCTTTCTGACTAAATATCATGCAAAATTTAAAAACTAAGTGCCAAAAAGGGTATACATAAAATTTGTAAATGTAGGCCTTAGGGTAAGCCTATCCTAACTATTAAAATGGCTTCTTAGGAGTTAAGAGATGCCATGTTAAAGCTTGAATTTTCAAAGTAATCTCTGCCACCATTTTTCTTTATACACCCCAGTTGACTGTTGCGTTCTGTCTTTGTCACTCGCAAAGCATAAAACAGCTTGAATGGCCTCCTCTTGTCATGCTTCTAGGGAAGCAAAGTAATTGCCTTGCCTGCTCAGTTAGCTCAGTATATTTTTGACATTATGAGACTTTAACAGCATGTTTCACATTTCTGCTCAGTAGTCTCTAACTCTTTGACTGGTTCTCTCTCCATTTCAATTATGCCATTTATTCTTTCCAATTGCATTCGACAATCGTATTTTGATATGGTGGAAATGAATTGATATTCATTTCAATTATAGTACAGTTACCTTCTTGTTAGAAAAGAGAAGTAGATAGTTTGAAATCTCTGGTGTGCTTCACAAGCACAGAAACATCTTTCTTTGCACAAATAAACATTTATCACCTCCCAGCTACTTATTTGATATCAAGAAATGGAGTGTTAGATGTTCAAGGATGGAAACTGGCTCTCAAGGTTGCATCCATGTGGTCCTTAAATTCTGCAGTGGCAGGACCACCGAGCACAGAGTTTTCAGTAACCTGTAATTATATAAATGTTAAATTCTAATATATATACATGAACCATCATAAATTGGAGTTTTTCAGTCTACTTTCTGATTTGCATGTGTCTGAATGACATTACTGTTATTAACTTATTAAAGTTAGGGGTTGATTTAATAAGGTTCGTGGAGAAGATGTTAATTTTTTAGTGCAACTCTTGTAATTTTTTCGTAAATGGGGATTTGAGTAGAGTAATGCTCTGAATATCACCTTGGGATGTTTGACTCTTTCGATTTTAACCAATGACTAAAAATCAAATCCAAATTAGTTCTAAACGATAGATCAGAGAAAATTAAGGAAAAGAAACGGAGGTAAGAAATTAGTTTACCTGTCGGGAATGGATAGTAAATGTAGACCTTTCCAAAGCAAGTCTGGTTCCAAGTTAGTGACAGATGTACTCACTGTTTGTTTGCAGCCATTAGTGTGGAGGAAAATGACTCAAATGTGTGTTCTTTGCTTTTTCTTTGGTCTCATTAGATAATTCTTGAAGTTATCGCATGCAATTTCCTTCTAATTGTAGCACTTATTATAATATCATTTGGAATTTGCCTTGGGTAATTTATTGCATTATGACATGAATCTCTTTGGTTTAGTTATTCTCATATTGGACATATACATAAACTTCAATTCTTTGCAACACATTATTAACATTGAGACAAAGTGGTCATAATGCCCTGTTTCCTTGGTAAGTAGTAGATCTTATTTTGAGTACTTCAAATTTGGATATGATACCTGTACCGATTCAACATCTAAATATAGAACTTTTTTTTTTGGGGCTTTCTTTTTTGGCTTTTTTTTTTGGGGGTGGGGGGGAGGGGTGGGCTGTGGGGAGAGAGAGAGAGAAATGAGAAAAGAGAATCACCAACTTCCTATTTCTATCTTGTTACTTTTGAACGTCGTGTGTTGTAAGGTTCTGGCTTTGCCCATAATCTTTCACAAAGGTGAGTTTTAGATTCTGCCTCTGAAGAGAAATACTTTTCTTAGTTCTGGATAAGTCTAGATAGGGGATAGATTGAGATTAGGAAAATATTTAAGTGCCAAAACTTGAAAACTGCTTTTTTTTTTTTACCCAACAGCAACACCCCCCCCCCCCCCTAGCCCCACCTTCCCACCAAAAAAGAAACATCCTAAAAAAATTCTATATTCAGATGCTGAACCTGGACATTTATCATTCCGAAATTTGAAGTACTCAAAATAAGATCTACTTACCAATGAAACAGGGCATTATGACCACATTGTCTCAACATTAATAATGTGTCACAAAGCAGAGAAGTTTGTCTATATGCCCAATATCAGAATAACTAAACCAAAGAGATCCATGTAGGAATGCACTAACTTACCCAAGGCACAAATTCCAAGTGATATTATAATGAGTGCTACAATTAGAAAGAAAATTGCACACGATAACTTCAAGAATTATCTAATGAGACAAAAGAGAAAGCAGAAACACTCATTTCAGTCATCTTCCTCCATGCTAATGGCTCCAAACAAACAGTGAGTACATCTGTCAGTGACCTGCAGACTTGCTTTGGAAAGGTCTACATTTACTATATCCATTCCCGACAGATAAACTAACTAATTTGGATTTGATTTTAGCCATTGGTTAAAATTGAAAGAGTCAAACATCCACCTTTATAAACCAGGCTAGAGTCCTAGGCTGACATTCAAAGCATTACTCTACTCAAATCCCTATTTACGGAAAATCTACAAGAGTTGCACTAAAAAGGTAACATCTACAAGAGGTTTACATTGAACTTGCGTGCAATCAAGAATCAGGTGCAATGCTGGATGATTTCTAGGAAAAATCTCTAGAAATTCTTTGTTCCTCATTATTCCTGCTTACGAATTTAATACATTTTTATCCTTTTTGAGAAGTTGGCAACATTCTATTGCCGTCTTTTGCATGATCTAAACACGAACCAGTATTCTGAGACACCTTTTGGAGTACCAACAAATTTCTGCTGCATCTAAAAAAGCTCTTATTAGGCACGCCCTTCTTAAATCCTACTCCCCCAGGGGGAGCTCACGCATGCAGTCTTGCAAGGATCTTTCTGATGAAGCTTATTTGAGGTTTTTCAATATACTTCTCATTTGCAGGGGTAAAGACTTTTAACCCACTAACTAAATGACTAAAATAACCAAACTGGAAGCGTAGACATTCAAAAGTATCCTGGAAATGTAATTCAAGAAATCTAAGATATTTAATTTGCAACATAAGACTTTTCAAAGTACACAACTCCCCCAAATTAACTTTTTATGCCATTTTGGCAGTTGTATATATTCCAATTCAAGAAAGTGGGTATATTCTAGTAATAAAGAAATAGCTCGATTTGAAAGTGAAGTTATTTAAAAGAATAACTAATTAATCACGTAAGTAGACAGGACAAAACAAGAGTGGAGCTGCATGAGACCAAACAAGTTCCCTCCATTCCAAGTAACTAGGTTAATATCCAGATAAAACTTGAGAAACTAGACTCCATAACTACTCATCAGCATGAGCTACACATCATTCTCCCCCATCACCACAGTACAACCACCCAGAAGCAAAAAGTTCAGCTTTTCACCCCAAAGAGATGTTTACAGCTGGTTAAGTGCAGTTCCCAGGCATGCAGTTCTATTCTCCATATAAATGATAAAATGGACACTGCTAATCTAGTAAATAAATGGTGTAGGTAGTGTCCACCTTTATGTAAGAACGCCCTAGCCACGTATTAACAACAAGACAAAATGATCATGTTACATATGTATACTAATAGTTGTCAGATCTCACTTGGTGACTATAGAATCATTTGTATAATTCTGAGTAAAAAAAAATTCTTTCTTCAGTAAGCTAACAGCATATTTACCCTTCTCGCTTTTTCTTATCCATGTTCGTCCTTTTGTAGTTTAAAGGTGACTGAGAAGACAAAAGGTCAGATGCCTGAAGAATCTAACATGTGGATTGTCAATTGAGATAATAGAGGTCTGAGATGAAGATCAAATCTCTCATTTATTTCTCCTAGAAACGCACTTGTTTCTTTATGTAGGTTCCCAAAAAAGAATCCATAAAGCTTAATCTCCACTTTCTAAATTTTTTGACACAATACAGTATGATGCAAGAAACACTTGTGAACTAATATATCAATGGAAAACCTATTCAACTTCATTCAATGGGCAATAGTGACTGTGACATGCTTTATCACGATGATCATTTCCAAATATTGTCCCGCATTTAGATTTTTGAGTTTTTCATTTGACAAGTAACCCTGACTACCATATCGCATTTCTTCATTTAAATACAGTGTTTACGTCAAAAGGAACTGCAGCTAAGTGCTAACTGCAAATCTTATCTGTTTCTTATTCTTGTTTGTTCTAACTGCTGCTCCCTCCACAAAATTGCTATCAACGTATTTTATGATGTTAACAAGTCATCTTCCCGTTTTGCTTATCCAAGCACATTCTTCTACATCGTCCTAGGTCTTGTGATAAAGTGACAAAGATTGGAGATGGATATCATGAGTCAGAAGATCCAACCTTGTATTCACTTTAATTCTCTGTAGCCAAGTTCTAAAGTAGATTCAATATCTCACTCTAGTAACCTTGAAGAATGTTCTCCTCAACCATTTCAGAAGCATGGTTCATGAAATAACAAAGTCATCCAAAGTCAACAAAGTTCTCAAACCTTGACGACAACAGTAAACTAGTCTGTATATTCTCCTTACAGTAACCTTCAAAATGTTCTCCTCAACCATTTCCGGAGCATGTATTATTGGTAAAATATCTAAAGCATCTGAGGTTATACAAGTTCTTAAACATTGAAGATGGTGCTTGGCACATGCACTGTAAAACTACTCTACCTACTCTGCAGGACATATGCTAACTTAACCTTCTCCATTTTAGAAATCAGATCTACTTTTTACCAGCAAAACAATTGCACCAAGTGCCAAACTGCAATTGGACTTCCCCAAGTTGATATGCCAACTATGACAAGTGAAGGCGCTGTATTTCCTATGGACGGCCATAGCCTCCTTTTGCTTGCCAATTCTCATTGAACTAACCATTCTAAGACATGGCAAGACTGAAAAGTTCAAAGATGTATCTATTATAATTACTGATCAATCCACTTATGAATAAGCTAACTACAAGAAAACCCAAATAAGAGACTACAGAGTATGCTTGGTGGAAGGTAAGAACGCTGAACTTAAACATATCTGCTTGTTTATAAAATAAGCCAAGAGAAAGCCATCAAAACGATTGCTTGTTCCACACGCCTTAAGCTGTACGACAACCATGAAGATAAAACCTTTTATGGCATTTATGAACAGCAGTCAATGAGCATAAATTAGTATTAAATGTCTATCCACATACTTCTCAAAAAGTAATCTCAAACGTGCAAACTAAGTTTTCACAAAGATAGAATGCTATTTACCATCTTGCACATTCCAAGTTGATAGATATAAATGGAGCTAAGTCCCAAAAGTCCCTGAAAAGTAGCATGTACAAAATAATGCAAGAGTACTAGAAAATCATCGATTGAATAAAGAAAATTAAACTAAATAAAAAAGAAGGTTGTAAAACTCCCCAGAGATGACATGTATTGTTCTCTATGTAAGATGAAAAGGCCATTCAGATAAAACATGTAAGTTTCATGTCAAGAGTAACTTTGTCTGAGCTCCGCATGGATAATTCAGAAGTTTTTCAAATCAAGGAAATAGTGATGACAAATATTACAAGCACTTGCCAAATGGAGAAAAAACAAAAGAAAGCTAATGATTGTTTTTAGGGCAATGAAATCAGTCAGGCTGGATCACAAAACCTTACCATATAACATGAAGGAGTAAATTTCTCAAGAAATAATAAGCAGTGTAGGAATATAGCGTTACCTCACTTAGATTGTAACATACAATCAGCATCCTTTACGGCTCGAACAAGATGTGTTACACGATATTGGAGCTTGGCATTTTCTGCATTTAGCTGCTTTAGCTCTTTCTGAGCCTAAAAGGGATATAAAGCGAGACCAGGTTACATTTTTAGCACTATTTAACGTGCAAAAATTAGGAAAACTACACAAAGCACACCTTTTCTCTTTCTAAAGCTTGTTCTGCTTTCACATTTTCAAGCTTTGACTGAAGCTCATGAACCTTATTCAATAATTCATCATTCCCAGCATCTGAAGAAGCATATTCACACGAAGAAAAGGTTAAGGATAAGTCAATTAGTAGATGTCAGAAAATTCAAAATGAAACCATTGAAATGCATTGATTGTTAAACCTACTTCTGTCACTAGCAATAGCAGCTTCAAGTCTTTCCAATCGAGCCTACATGACAAAGACGGAAATTTCAATCAGTAAAACTCCTATTGTCAACAGAAATGAGGACAGATTTCCCAAACTCTGATTTTATTAGCTTATTGCCATTAAAAGCTCACCGCATCTTACAATGATTAATAAAAAAAATTAAGTAAAAAGTAGCATTCGAATACGAGAAAATAGTATTATGTATTTCTATAACTACATTTACATACCAAATACAAAAGAATTGTATAAATTCCACTACACAAGGGTGTGTTTGATTCCTTAAAGAGAGTTGAATTGTATACCATAGGATTTAAGTAAAATTTCTGTAGACATACAAGTCCAATTATTGCAACTCCAATTCTCACGAGGAACCAAACAAAAACATCAAACAGAAGAATCCGAAACTCCAAATTTAGATTGCTGGACTAATTTAATATCTGATTCATATATTTATAATTCGTCAACATGATTGATGCATCAGTAAAAGAAACGTCAAAATAAATTCATCAAACTAGTCTAAGAACTCCTGGTAAAGCCCTTCAATAATTGAATTAAAGCATGAGATTTGATACAAGAAAAATTAAAGCATAACATATCAATGACAAGTAATTAAAAAAAAAAAAAAAAAAAAAAGCACCAAGATTTAGACCCATAAGGTGGGGGGTTACAAAGCTAAACAGAAATCAGAAACCTCAGCCTCAGCAGCTCGCTGGTAAAAAGGTTTCAAAATTTCTGGTAGGTTGCTTTCTGCCATTGGGGTAGTTCGTCGGGGCAGAAGCCGAGAGTAAAAAGTGTCTGGTTTTCGGAGAGTTCGAGGTTGGAAAAGGGTATTACTAAAACTTTTTTTTCCCCTCTTATTTGGTTTGGGTATGGGAACGGCTCTACAAAGTTGTACCAAAATGTACAACAAATCCGTTTGAATTAATTATTTTTTGGGATGTTTTTGAAAAATTTTTACTGTAACGTGTATATGAAAAATTTGTACTGTTAAAATTTTTTGAAATATTTGATATATTGTATGAATGACATATTTTTTGAATTATTGTGTATTATTATAACATTATATTTGAAAAACTTGTTTTTGAAAAAATGACCAATCCAAACGGAGATATTTGTTCATCATGCCACCATAAAAAAATTGAAAAAATCTATCTACACATTCACACAAATGATGTATAAATGTAATTTTTAGTGTATAAACATATGGCCTGTTTGGAAGTGAGTTTTTTTACCAAGTTTTTTACCTACTAGTTTTTTAACAACTTTTGCTACAGGAACCCCAAAAAATTTCTTAAAGTTTTTTCCCTACACACTTCAAAAATCTAATACACAAAAAAATTTTCAAAAAATTTTCTTCTTTTTTCTCCCTCATCCAACCCACCATGCCAGCCACCACTTCCACCACCTGTACCGCCGCCGGTCACGTCAAAAAAATTTTTTTCTGTCCCTCACCCTCACCCCCTCTCCTCTGCAGAAAGAGGAGTAACGCTGTCGTTTATGCCGGGGGTTGGGCCGACTGTCTCTCTTTATTTATTGTTTTTTTTTTTTTTTACAAATCACCCAAAGTGGAGTTAGGGTTGGGGGGATCCGTTATTTCCATGGCGGGCATGGAAGGAATTGCAGCGGCGGGAGGAACTGGAATTAGAAGTGGAAGTGGAATAGGGGGAGGAGGAGGAGGTGTCTCAGTCTCAGAGAGGAGGGAGAGGAGAAAAGCAAAAAAAAAAAAAAAGAACAGAGCCAAGCAGGGGCATGGAGGTCGCGCGGGCGTTACGACTGGAGTGCGTTGTGGTCGCGCTGTGGAGAAGGCGCACCAGGAGCTAGGCTGGCTGATGCGCGTGCGGAGGAGATCGGGGGCGCTGGTGCTCTGGTGCACCTGCATTTCTGGTCGAAGAGGTGGCAGAGGTGGTGGTCAGCGCTCCAAGAAACAAAGGGAGGGAGAGGGGGGAAGGGGCAGTGGGGGAGGGGGTGGCAGGGCAGAGGAGGTGGCGGGGCAGCGGGGGAAGGGGTTGCGTGCAGAGGGGAGGGGAAGGCGGGGCAGCGGGGGAAGGGATGGCGTGCAGAGGGGAGAAGGAAGAGGGGGAGGGGGTGGCGGAACAGCTGGGGAAGGGGCAGCGGGGAGAGGGGTTGGCGTGCAGAGGGGGGGGAAAGGCAGAGGAGAGGAGAAGGGGAAAGGAAGGAGAGGGGTGGCGGGAGGGGGAAGGAAGAAGAAGAAGAAGAAGAAGAAGAAAGAGAGGAAAGAAAAGAAAAGGGGAAGAAAGAAAAAGAAAAAGAAAGAGAAAGAAAAAAAGAAAAGGGAAAAAAATTTCATCTTACAAAAACTTCTACAAAAATTTTTATCTTACAAAAACTTCAACAAAAATTTTTCAAAAACTTCTACAGTGCACTACAGTAAAGTTTTAGACAAACTCTCAAAAAACTCAGGTTCCAAACAGGCCCATATTTTTCAATCAATCTATCCATCTTTTTAATCATTTTTTTTTAATTTCACATTACAAAAAAGTGCTACAAAATCAAAATAAATAAATTTTTTTCAAATAATAGATATCAAAATACTCCCAGTATGTTGATGTATATTTTATTATTTTTACTCCCTGATACTATTGCACTTCAGGACAAAAATGAAAAAAAGAAACTAAACCTAAAGTTTGTAAGCTTTCTGCTTCTTCTCTTCACATTTAGTACAATAACTTTCTCCAACTTTTCACCAACTAATTCATACTTTTTTAAAATCAAGTATAAAGTATTCATAGAGAGTTGGAGAAGTGTCAAGTTGAATGGTAAAGTAGAAAAGATTATGAGTAGGATGTCTTGGATTCAAAATATTTCACTTAAAAAAATATTCATAAAGAGTTTGCAAAAGCTAGTACATATAAAATGAATGAGAGTTTTCTTTTAAGAAAAATCGTTCAAAAAATCTCTCACATTTTGCAAAATAACTTTTTTCGTTCCTCACTTTTGAAAGTGTAATTTTACGTTTCTTACAAATTCACTTTAGTCAAATTTGATCCCTATTTAGATTTCCGACTAATTTTTTGTCAGAATCCAGCACGTGCCTTGCATATGATCATTTTTAAGGCAAAATTGTTAAATCAAATTTTACATAATCTAGTGCATAATCCCTCACATTTCACAAAATGAATTATTTCGTTCTTCACATTTCATAAAATGAATTTTTTCATCCCTCACATTTCACAAAATTAATTTTTTCATTCCTCATTAACCATATGTAAGAATAGTTTTTGTTTTTAACCCATGTATATATCTATTTGATTTCACCATATGAATCTATTCAATATTTATAGTCTTTTCTCTTTTGATAATAATTCATTTATTAAGTTGTATAGTAAGATCATCTAATTAATAGGTTCTAACTCAAAATTTATAGTCATGTTAATAAATTACAGTTTAAATCTGAAATTTTTGCTCATCACCTTTAAAACCAACAGTTGAATTACTTGTCTTGTAATTATTTTAAAATCTGAAAGTGCCAATCGCTTACTTCTTTTTGTCATATTTTTTTCTTTGTTTATTTTTTTCGTCCAATATAAACATTCGATAATGTTTAGGATTCAATGTCTTCTTTATTTCAATTTTTGAGTAAAAGAAAACGAACATGAGTGAAAAACTAATAATTTTTTTAAATTCACATAGATATCTATTTGATTTCACCTGGACAGTATATTCAAGCGAAATCAAATAGAGATAAATTACATGTTATTCGTACTGTTCAAATGAAATCAAATAAATATATACATGAATTTTAAAAAAAAGTTATTCGTACACATAATCATTGAAGGATGAAAAAATTTATTTTGTAAAATATGAGAGAAGGAAAAATTCATTTTGTGAAATGTGAGGGACAAAAAAAATTATTTTGTGAAATGTGAAAAACGTAAAAAATTTATTTTGCAAAATTAAAATATGAGTGACTATGGATCGAATTATGTAAAATTTGATTTGACAATTTTGCTCTTAAAAAATGATCACATGCAAGGCAAGTGATAGATTCCGACAAAAAACTAGTCGAAAATCTAAATAGGGACCAAATTTGACCAAAATGAAATTGTAAAGGATGTAAAATTACACTTTCAAAAGTGAGAAACGAAAAAAATTATTTTTTAAAATATGAAAGATGTTTTGAATAATTTTCCCTTACTTTTACACCAGTACTACTAAGGGTAGAATAGTACCAATTTAAAAAAAAATGTTAAAATGAAAGAAGACTCCTCTATGAAGTAGAATCTCAAAGATGAAAGATGAGCTGAGAAAAATGTCTCTATTGTTTAATGTCCTATGACTCTTCATATTTTGTCTTGATATGAGCAAGAAATTGTTAGATATGGGCATGCCTAACATAAGTAAAGTCTTCTAGTTCGTGGGGTCCAAAATTGAGAAATTATCCTGAAAGTTATTGAAAGTCTTGAGAATGAAGATTGAAAGTTTGCTTATCACATTCAAATGGTGGAAGAGTCAGATGGAGCCATTCATAGTTAAAACGGTTTCACATTTAATGATGGATTTATGTTAATGTTTAAGTCTTGACTCATTATGTTATTTTTCAGTAGTTTAATGTTAATTTAGTCATTAATTAGTAGTGAAATAATCGGCCAAGTTAAGTCTCAAGTAGGGCCGAATTTAGGGTTTCCTTCTCTTGTTAGATTTTATGTTTTGTTAGTATTTTCAAAGTCGAATTAGGAGCCTTATATTATTTCCAAATTGGATTGGTCTTGGTAGTTTAGGTTTTAGTTATAAAAAACCTTCTTCTATTCTATTGTAAGACAATTTTGAGAAATGAAATAATAAAAGTGAGTTGTTCTTCCTTTAGGAAGTTCTTTGATGGAACGTGAGTTTCTTCTTGAATTGTATCAAGTAATTAAATTGCATACTTGTGGTGTTCAAGAAACTGTATCAAGTATTTACTTTGAATACTTGTGGTGTTCAAGACAAGATAATCAGATCATCTTGTTTTTTCAGTCCAATAATCAATCAGTTAGGTTTCTAGAAACGGGTTCTCTTTAACTATAGTAAGGTAGTTATTGTTTCATAATCTGGTCAAAATAGATTTTTCCGCTGCCTAATTGACTTGGTTTTTCAAGACAAGTTCTTATTGGATCGAATTCGTATCATATTTCTACTTGCTCTCCTATTAAGTAAGCGAATGACCAAGCTAGGCCACAGCCTTTAAAGAGTCTACCCCCAACCCACTCTGATTCTCACTCATTACGCCCCTCAGCTCTAGTTGTCCTTTCGGTAAATTACATTTTGCTAGTATTCTATTTTCTACATATTACACCCATTCGATGGCTTTTCTCTGTTGAGAGGATGTTGACTAATTGGTGCTTCAAAAGACTAGTCATGTAGGAGCACATAAGGTGTCATAATTCCCGTAACTTTGGTATGGTTCTGGTGCAGAGACCTCTGAAGGATCTCCTTTTTCATCCATTTTTCACCTATATATCAAACAACACATATTCCAGCATGTGATCGATGGAAGTAAAAGGATTGCGGACCACATAGAGAGTTGGAGACTAATTAAGCACAGATTGCAGAAATGATGTAGGGAAAGTCTTAGCTATTTTTCCTATTGTATGCATGGTTCAAAGACTTGGCCGAGTCGTCACCGTTTCGGCCCCTTCCGATACGATACCGAGAAGATACGATTTCGAGATATTTGACTCATCGAAAAATCAGCCGAGACATCATTGTGAATGGTTGATACACCCGAGTCACTCCGAGTCATCTCGAGTTAACTTGAATCCAACAAAAAACCTTTAGAAAAGAAAAGGAAAAAAATGATAAAAAAAAAGTGAAACCCGAGGCCATTCGAGTAACAACCACTAGTAAGTCCCAACAC